TTTTTTCTATATATTTTTAGTTGTCCGATTAATTTCTTTCTATTTTTAGTAGAGACGGGGTCTCACTCTTGCTCAGGCTGGCTTGGAACTCCTGAGCTCAAACAATCCGCCCGCCTCGGCCTCCCAGAGTGCTAGGATTACAGGCATGAGCCACCGCGCCCAGCCAGTACATACTGTTTTTGAGGATTCATGTTGAAGAAAAATAATGTGAGAGTATTAAAGTATCTAACCTGTTTCATGTAGAATTGAGGTAGCTAATTCTTTAAGCATAGCTTTCCACATCTCTACTTATATAATTGTAAATAAACTATATCCACCTAGTGGTTATGAACTTCCTTAAAAATTGTTTTGTTTTTATTTTACTGTATTTTGTCTTTCAGGTATATTGTTGATGATTCTGATGTTCAGCTTTTTCCTTCCATGGCTGCATAACAACCATATAATTAATAAAAAGGAATAACTTCCAAAAGACTATAAGATACAGGACAGTCAAGCTGGATGTGACAATATTACCTCATATTCCAAAAACTGCACTGGATTCATCAATGTTAACTTCCTTGGAGGAAGCTGCCTTATAGTTTTCATCACTGAGACTTAAAAAAATTACTGTGAAAATGAGGTATTCTGTATTTCTCAGTTAACACTGGTTCTTTTGAGTGATGTATTAAATGCTGCTGGAAAAGACTAATTACATTAAACATAAATCTTAAGTGATAATTGTTAACTTTGATGAAAAGCAAAAGAGTACAGGGTGAGAAGGGAAGGGAAGGTGATGGGAGGACTAAAGAACATATATCAAGTGTCACCTGAATGAACAGCATTTGTAACCAAAGTGCAAGCAGTCAAACTCACACAACTGGGGAGAGGATAATTTTCAGCCACTACTTCACACAGTGATACCACCAGCAGTGTCATCTTTCAATAGGAAAGTTGCTTTTGGAAGTAGATTATATATCTACTTATACTCAAGGGGTTCCCTAAATTGTAAGCATTTTATAATCTACTATCTAAAATATTTGCTCTAAATAGACAAGCTCACTAGCTTCAGGCAAGTTGTTTTTCATTAATAGACTACATTAAAACAAAGCACCCACACAAAGTCAAGATGTAAGCTTTTCACATTCTCATTCGATCCTAACAGCTACCTTGTGAAGTAGGTAGGGCATGTATTTTTAATCTCCATTTCACAGATAAGGAAACTAAGCTTAGAGGGGTTTGCTGCCCTGCCTTAGGTCACAGAGAGCCAAATACCATCTTTAAATTTTTGCTTCAGTCCAAAAACTCTTCTCAGTCATGATTATCACTAAAGGAAAATTGAAGGTTCTGAAGAAACAAATACTTTATAACAATAAAATTTGTTTAGGAATTAACTAGTATTTTTTGAGGTTTAAAGAACCTTCACATTTTACTCCGTTAGAAACCTTCTTTTATTGTGGGAGGTTCTAATTTTTATTAAAAGTTCAGGCCATAGAGCTGGGCCTGGTGGCTCACACCTATAGTCCCAGCACTTTGGGAGGCTGAGATTAGAGGATCACTTGAGGCCAGGAGTTCCAGATCAGCCTGGGCAATGCAGTGAGACTTCATCTCAAAAAAAAAAAAAAAAAAAGGAAAAAATTAGCTCATTGTTGTGGTGTGTACCTGTAGTCCCAGATACTCGAGAGGCTGAGGCAGGAAGATCACATAAGCCTGGGGGTTTGAGGCTGCAGTGAGCCATTATGATCGTACCACTACATCCACCCTGGGCAAGCCCGTCTCTTTAAAAAAAAAAAAAGAAAAAAAGTTCAGGCCATAAAAGGTTAAGTGTGTTTCTCTTCAAAGGAAATTCCATTATCAGAATTAGATACAGTTAGAATTGACTGTAAAAAAATATGGGGTGAGATATGATCTGAGTAATAATCAGTTAAGGAGCAACTGATAAGCTGCCAGGTAATTTAAGTGCTGCTCGGTGATCAGCTTGTAGATAGTCACTCTACTTACACCTGCAGACTGAACAGGTGCAGCTTGTTGCTAATTCTAGCCAACAAGGCAGCCAGTTTGATGATCATGGACTTTGACGATCTAACCTACAAATTCAGACCATAGTAGTTTGTATTTTAAAAAGCAGAGTTCACACAAATTGTGACTGAATGGTTAAATGCAGATGTTTTTATTTGGCCTGCACAGTACTTAAAAAAAAAAAGAAAAGCCAACATTCTGTCTTGTTTCACAAAAATATCCATAGTTTTAGCTTCTCTTGAAAAAAAAGAAAAGACCTTGCAATACTAGGCCTGAATCTGCCATGCAACAACACAAAATAATGGCTGTTCCCTTTTAAATGGTCCCATTTTCCAAATATGAAGCTGAGTTTAACTTGTTTCATGGCTGTTTTTATTACAGAAATGTTTTTACTCACATCTCTTGCATGAGGACTTCTGTGGTTTAAGAAAAATGATTATTAATTTGTGAAAACACCCAGCCCTCTGAACTTCATCTGTCATACTTCTGAGTTGCGACTTCTGATGATACTGCTTCCCCTGTAGCCCTCTCAAGTGGTCGCTGTTTTCTCTCACACCTTTTTTTTTTTTGAGACTGGGTGTGGGGAGTTACAGGTGTGTTTTGAACTCCTGGGCTTAAGCTATCCTCCTATCTCAGCCTCCTGAGGAGCTAGGATTACAGGTGTGAGCCACCATGCCCAGATAATTCTTATTTTTTTAGAGATGGGGGTCTTGCTATGTTGCCCAGGCTAGCCTTGAACTCCTGGGCTCAGGTGATCCTCCCACCTCAGCCTCCCAAGTAGCTGAGACTACAAGTGTGTGCCACCACACCTGGCTCTCCCATACCTCTTATACCACTGTGCCTGGAGGTGAAATAGTCTTCCTTATCCTCATTGCTGCTTCCCATCCATTCTCCTGTGCTTCATCCATTAAAAACATGTCAATCAGCTACCTAGGTACTTGTTGCAGTCATCTATTTACTCTCTCAACTCCCTCTGTTCCTTTAAGATTATAGTTACTGTCTCACTTTCAATAGGAAAGTTGCTTTTGGAAGTAGATTATGTATCTACCTATACTCAAGGGGTTCCCTAAATTGTAAGTATTTTATAATCTACTATCTAAAATATTTGCTCTAAATAGACAAGCTCACTAGCTTCAGGCAAGTTGTTTTTCATTAATAGACTACATTAAAACAAAGCACCCACACAAAGTCAAGATATAAGCTTTTCACATTCTCATTCCATCCTAACAGCTATTCTGTCTATTCCATGCCTGCAACCATGCAATAGAATAAAATCACAACCTTATTAAATTATTTTTTTTAAGATTCAGGGTTGCAATAGACAGCTGTAAATTTAAATTTTTTATAAGCCAGCATCTAAGCAGCCTTTCTGTTTGGGGTAATCAATTCCTGTGAGAATGTACACAGGGGCCGTGCCCTTCTACTGCCAAAGCTGAAAGGGCCAGATACTCTTCTGCCCCTGGCAACTACAGCACCCGATGCCAACCAGAACTTTTAACCTTAAGTGTGGTGACTCAAAGACATAGGGACAATTAAGAAATCAGGCTAACAGCAGCAGGGGAATCAAACATCTTACGTAAACCATAATGGTTCCTAATCTTTTTATGAGCCTGGTTTACGACAACTTCCTATTCATTGTATGAGCTACCAGATAGTCTTCTAATAAATATTTTCTGCTTAAGCTAGCCAGATTTGGATTTATTTACAACTAGAATTTGGGCTGATACAGGATCATAACTTTATGACCATAAATTGCTGTACTATCTTAATATTTGCATTATTATACAGGCTTAGACTGCTGTATTTTGGGGGAATATATATTTGCTTTTCTTCATAATTCTGCCAGCTATTTACTGCTGTTACTGTTATGCGTGATGGAACCACCCCTTTTTCCTTTTCTAACTTGTGTGCCTAGAAAACTGGATGCTCAAGTACATTAGACCTGTCTGTAGAGCAAGAGCAGAGACTCGCAATGAAGGCCTGAAGGTCCTGAGAAAAAAACACACAGATTTCACGATGTCTACTTTAATTGCTCAGTGGATTTTTAAAGTTCAAGCTTCTCAGATGTACTCTAAATGGTGGGTTAATGTTATATTTGTAGCTGCTGCTTTCTGACATGAAAAGTTAGTTATTAACAACTATTAAGCTATTCTCTAGGCACTGTTGTTCTAAGTGTTTTACACGTATTAGTGATTTATGTAATCTCCAAAATAATCCTAAAAAAAATCCTAAGACATATTAGAGTTAGCCTGTATACACTATTAGTTATTGAGCCTTTTAATCCCCATATTACATATCTCTTATTTTATCTTAAGTTAAAAACAAAACTTCTAACCAGGTTCACTCCCAAAAGTTTTTTTATGTCATGTGAAATTATGAAGTTTTCCCAAATTAGATACTGGTTTATTTATGAATAGAGTGAGATTTTAGTGAAAATATGTTTCAGCTCCTTCACAAAGGGATGGCAATCATTCTATTAGGATCCTCATAAGAGATCTTGCTTAGAATTTAATTACTGTATAATGGTCAAAAAGATAGGTACCAGATGTGGATTTATCAATTCTAGAAAAACTTGCATGAGAATTAGCTATATAACAGTGAACCTATCTGAAATGCTGCAAGTAAACCAAATTCTATCTAAATATCTAGTATCTCTAAACAAGGAGTAATGACACTTGTCTTCTAAAAGTAAAGTACTATATAGGTTGAGTATTATCACTTAACCAAAATGCTTGGGATCAGAAGCATATTGGATTTTGGAATTTTTTAAAAATTTTGGAGTATATGCATTATACCAGTGGAGCATCCCTAATCGGAAAATCCAAAATGCTCCAATGAGTATTTTCTTTGAGTGTCACATCAGCACTCAAAAACTTTCATATTTTGGAGCATTTCAGATTTTGGATTTTTGGATTAGGGATACTCAACCTGTATATTATGATTATCTCTGCATAATCGCTCACATTTACCAATACTGAAGAAATTCCTAACAGAATCTCAAAATACAGAACCTATAAGGACTAAAACAAGCTTATTTAAGAAGTATAAATATCTGACAAACTAATCTGAGGGAGAATGAAATTCATGGGGACCATATTTTAATGAATACATTTTTGAAATGATAGAACCTAGAATAGAGAACCACCAACCCTAACTTTTATGGAAATTTTAGATGGCTTACATTTTGGGAGGGAATGTCTGTGCCTTTAAAGTTTCTCTATATCAAGAACGCACAAACAAAACAATTCCAACAACCCTAAAATTAAGCTCAAATGTAATCAATAAATTGCAGCTGGCTGATCATTATGAATTTCATTTTCTAAAAGTCTAACCTGATCTCTTTTCTCAGCTTCTCCTATTTTCTCAAAGCTATAGATACAACTGTCTAGTATTACAGAATGTTATAGTTGAATTGGCCCTTAGATGTTAAACAACTTGTCTGCCAAGCCAGAACTAGATGCTTGGTCTCCTACCTCTGTTTATTGCATTATCCAAAATATCAGGCTGACCATGGCAACACCAACAGGAAACAGAGTGCATTTTGAATATCCAGGACAGTTTGTTATCAGAGCACTTTATATTTCACTGAAAGTCATGATTACAAATTTGTTCCTTTCAAAAGGAACTCAAATGGAATTTCTACAATAATATTAGCCTATGAGAATATTTAACGTTGAAAACCCTGCAGCAGTAGGGAGAACTTGCTTCCTCTCAGCTGCTGGTAGATGGTAAGGCTGTATGATGTCTTGGAACATAGGCTTAAAAATCACAGCTCACTATCTACATGACCTGAAGCAAGTTACTTTATCTCTCTCTATAACCCAATTTCCTCATCTAATAGGTGGGATAAAAGTATCTATATCTCACAAAGTAGTTAAGAATATTATAATACATAATATATAAAAGGACCCAGCACAGTGGCTGAAAGAAGTCTCAGTAAATTTTAATTTCCATTTCCAAGTGGCTCTTTTACTTGGCTATTATAACAGATTTGAAATTTCTGAGAGCCTGATTATAAAAAGGAAAATTGGGTTTTTTTAGTCTATTTTGCAGTATGTGGGAAACCAAGCAAAAGTGCTAAAAAGAACACTGGGCTGAGTGGTATCAAACTCAAGTTTAGTTTCTCATTAGCCAAGTGATTCTGAATAGCCTAACCTTATTTTAAAGGCCATATAATTATATCAAAAGTCCAAGTATAGGCCAGGTGTGGTGGCTCATGCCTTTAATCCTAGCACTTTGGGAGGCCGAGGCAGGAGAACTACTTGAGGCCATAAGCTTGAGGTTGTTGTGAGCTATGATGACGCTACTACACGCTAGCCCAGGCAACAGAGTGAGACCCTATCTCCAAAAAGTCCAAGTATAAATCTGTAATTACAAATCAGCCTTATAAATACCCAGGTGTCTGTGAAAACTAAAAATTGAGAGTTGATAAATGTAAGAAATTAGTCCTGACCCAAGAGGAAGTAGCAGAAATCTCCTGAAATGTGTTAAATCCTTGCCTTTCTAAACACTTGCCAGAAGCTCTATACATTTTCTTCTTAATTTCATGTCCGCAACAAGTGAACAAAAATAAGACCAGCAAAATTCTACTTGCCAGCATTGTTTTTTCAAAAAACATTTCTCATTAACGGTTCTAGTCAAGAGTGAGAGCACAGTAATATAGAAAACCTAGATTTATTTGTTAAGCTGTTACAAAGACAAAACAATTACCATTTGAAGTACTTTGAGGATTTCATCCCAGTTTCACTTGTTTTGTTACAGAAAGTAACCCAAGATGCTGGAAACTAGAGGATATAACTGAAGAGGTTATAACAGAGCAGACTGATGAAACATGGTGAAAAAAGCAAAAAAGCTAGTCAGAAGCACTTGTGTCAGGGATAGTATATGTGGCTGGAATATTTCCAAAGAGGCTACCTACAAATGCCTGAATTAATTAATCTGGGCCCCAAATTAGTAGAAGATTCTTGCCCCGGTGGAGAATGAGCAGAGGCTAGGATTCCTCTGAGATCTTACTTTTTAGGGGTATGGGTATCCTTAAGCCCCAAAGAAGTGAATCTTAGCTTCAACCTCTCTCTTTCCCACCCAGTCTACCTACACCTCCACGCTCCTGTGCATTTCTACCACATAGGCCTGCTAGCTTATAGAAAATGCATACAGTGAAGGCAGGAAATACAGACCTCCTCAGAGGATACCTAGACATGGAGTTTTGGGGTAAATAATAAACTACAAACACCCTCTTGGTTAAGTTAATTCACCTTTGTTAATAAAGGTCATAGTTTCTTCTGCTGGTGACAACTTGTTGTGTCAGTATAGTCTGTCTCAAGAAAGAACTGGTTCAGGTGAGTTTTGGAGAAGGAAAAAGACTTTCATCAACCCACTCCAGAGTGGAAGAGGCACCAAGTTCTCTCCTATGGTTATGAGCAGAATCTGAAAAACAAAAGGTTTACAATGTTTATAATAATAATAGCTATTATTTATTGAATGCCTAGTCAAGAGTGCCAGAGGTCTTAGATACACTGTATCTCAATCTTTGTAATAACCCTGCCAGGTAGTTCTTATCATCCTCATTTTACAGATGAGGAAACGGAGGATTAAAGCTATATACCTTGTCCAAAGGCATACAGCCAGTGTGTGGTAGACCTGTGATTCTACCATTCATGTGCTTCCCCCTTCATCCTACCTCATGCATTGAGAGGTCCTAGTTCCATTATCTTGAAGTCATTAATGGTTACATAAATACTCTAATTATTTCTTGTTCATTCTTTAAAGGCACATACAACTTTAAATGTTTAAAAATTTACAGACATTGTTTGGAATTCATGGCAATTATCCAGATGAAGAACATGTATAAACTTTAGGAATAAAATAATTCTCTGCCTCTGAACTCTGAGCATAAAATGAACAGAAAACAAAGCTCATTAGTTTGTGGCTATTTTATGGGTATTTCACCATTGCAAAGAATCCTAAGAATTCTCGCCAGGGACTGTAGTAACATCCCATTAGTATAACTGTTAGTGACGTACCAAATGAGTTTCTCATGATCCTTATTAACAGAGTAGTTGATGTTCTCCGAAATGTCTATTTTTCAAAAAGAAATATGTAAAAGCCAGAAGATCCAAAAATCTGTTTTCTAGTTCCAATAAAACAGGTACTAAACAAGTATCACTGAGCTGAAACAAATCAATATGCTATAAAAAAATGTGATGAGAAGGAAAGAAGACTTAAGTTGGTACCACAAGAGTTCCCATGAAGTAGAATAGTAAAGTTATTGACATCTGGAACTGTAAGAGCTGAAAATTAATGTTAACAGAGCTCTAGTGATATGAACACGTAATTTTAACACATAATTGATTTTAGACTATGGCTACCACCGACAGATTTAATGTGGAAATTAGGATTGAGTATTTAAGGGAAGAGGTAAAAATCAAAGAATTCAAAGAGATTATTTTCAGACGGTTCCACTGGCAGGACCTGAGAAGAAAGCAGAGCTCCAATGTCACAATTCATGGTTAGTATAAGAAGCAGTGTTATACAGTGTTCACAATGGCAATAACTTGGAACATAACTGGAATTTTAAAAGGCTGGTTTCCAATATAAAATGGAACAGGGGTAAAGGAATTAAAAATTTTAAGTGGAGAAAAAGCCAACGATTACTTAAGGTTCAGAACTAAAATCTGTATCAGAACAAAACAAGGAATTTTGAAATATTTAGCATAGCAGGGAATGACAAGAGATTTTGCAACCTAATTGGATGACTAATAGTGGTAGCAGAGTCGAGTCAAAATATATAAATCTTGCCATGCTATTACTATATACTTTAATAAAATAAAAGGACCTGGAGAGCAGCGTTATCTCAAAGACTGGAAGACAACCAGTATTTAAGAAAAGAATGCTACAAGGTCAGAGGTAGCAGGACATTGTAGGGGGAAAAGAGGGACAGCCACTTAACACCTTATAAAGGAGGGACTACTACAATTACCAGTCCTAGTTCTGTACGATGTGAACTAGCTACATGACCTTCAGTTATTACCTAACATATAGCTGAAATACCCAGACTGACAATATATTTCTCAGATTAACAAAGGAGCAAATAGGGACAAACTTCAGGCAAAGCTTATGAGAATGTGTCAGAGAAAAGAAAATTGGCAGAGAGCTCTTACATCAGCCATGAAAAGCAGCAGGAAACAACTTGGGAAATGATAGCTTTTGGACAACTGTACACAAACTTGTTACGGTTTGGCAAATCAGACTTGGACACTAAGGTGACCAGGACCTTGGTCACCCATTATTTTCAGAAGGAGGGAAATTGATACAAAATTATGATTAAAGTCTTGAGCTCAGTTTCAAATTACTTTTATTCCTTCCCAAAACTGAAAAGCATGAGTTGCAGCAGATCTCTGCTTTCTGTTTTCTGATGAGCATGCTAAGATTTCAAACGCTTCAAGTGACAAAAGGTGACTCAAGAGCAGACCAGGACATGAGCTGAGGCTCTACTGCTCTCACCTGAGCCAACCAGGGAGGTCTGCTTCTGTACAAATGGCTTATAAGTTCATTGACGATGGTCTGTGTCTTATTCTTCTACATATTTTGAATGCCTACTGCAATGCTTAGCATGTGGGAAGTGTACAATAAATGTTAAACTGAACATCATCATGTTGCAGCCTTGACTTCTTAGGGGAAAAACAACACATAATTTTCAGTAATTTCAGAAATGGGTAACAACATTTTTCTAAACTGCAAAATTACATAGAGTTCTCCTGATGTATGAAAATAAAAATTAATCATTTCATATGATTTTCATGTTCAATGACAAGGGAGGAAATAAGCTACTCACCTTCAAGCAGCATAAATCATTTTCAGTGATCAACATCTGCATCCTCAAACTGTCCAGCAACTGTTGGTGTGGTATCTACCTCCATCCCATCTAAACAAAAAAATGAATTGTTGAGCGATACTCTACTAAGCACTTCAGATAGGTAAAAACACTCACCTTCTAACTTTGACCAGAAGGAAGCCAGTGCCCTCTGCTGGTAAGAGATACTATTTTTTTTTTTTTTTTTTAAAGTATCAAAGAACAAACGAAGAAAGGAAAATGCTACCGGTGGATTTAGGGTGAGTTAAAGTCAGTCTATATTTAACATTTACTTTATAAATTCTCAACCTCAATACTAAAAGAACTGTAGGTAGGAACTTTCAAATGCAGTATCAATTACTCTTTACAGATCTGTTCTTAAGTATTTACTGTTAGTTTTTCTTTTCTTTTTAAGGTAAACAGTCCTTTCCTCAGAAAGCTTTCAACGTAATCCAGGAGAAAAGTAGAGCAGGGTTCTTGCTTAATCTCCCTGTTTTTCTTATCTCATTAAATGAGAGGGGACAAGAAAAAATAGAAAACTCTGTGGAAAGAGTTGTCTATAGCTGTTTTCTCCACTTATTCACCTCCCATTCACCCCTCAACTCTTCAGCCCACCACAAAGTGGCTTCTGCCCACAGCCCTTTGGCACTCCACCACCTGGAGACACAAATGTGACACGTGTCTAAAAACTGTTCATCTTTCCACATAAAAATGTTTCTTTTCCCAGTCTTGCTAAAGGGTTACCTCTTATCTGCCCAAACCAGAGATCCCTACCCTACTTCTAACTTCTGTTGCTTATCTCCTAAATCTCTCAAATCTGTCTTTTTTTTTTAGACACGGTCTCACTGTGTTGCCCAGGCTGGAGTGCAACAGCACAATCATAGCTCAGTGTAGCCTTAAACTCCTGGAACTCAAGGGATCCTCCTGCCTCAGCCTCTGGAGTAGCTAGGACCACAGATGAGTGCCACCACACCCAACTGTGTCAAATCTTTTGATATTCACTGTCACTTTCTAATTTAAGTCACCATTTCTTATCTAATTTAATACATAAGTCACATAACAGGGTTTCTCTTCTTTTCTCTAGTATTTTTCCTCTCCAATCAGTTTTCCATATTGCAACCAGAGTTATATTCTGAAACACTAATCAAACTAAAATTCTTCAGTGGCTTCCCACGAAACTAAGAGTTCCTCTAAGACTTTGGTTCCCAACCCCCAAGGCCACAGACTGGTAATGGTCCATGGCCTAATTAGGAACCAGGCTGCACAGCAGGAGGTGAACAGTGGGGGAGCAAGCAATCAAAACTTCATCTGTATTTACAGCCGCTCCCCATTGCTTGCCATCCCCATCCCATCTGTGGAAAAACTGTCTTCCATGAAACTGGTCCCTGGTGCCAAAAGGTTGGGACCACTGCTCTAAGACATGGCCCAGTTCACTACCCCACCTTTATCAGTTACCATAACTACCCTTCACAAAGTTCCAGACATAATGAACTTTCAGTCCCCCAAAGCTGAATGGTCTCTTGAACCTCTGCACATAACTAATCCCTTTACCTGCCTTTCCTCCTGTGTGCAATCCCTCTTCCCCTGGGTCACTTCTATACATGGTTTAGATCGTGGCTTAGATGCCACTTACTCCATGAAGCTTTTAGCTATTCCTGATTATGCAGGCTGGGCAATGTGGTGAGTATATTAATTTTTGCATATTAGCTCATTTAATCCTCTTACCACTTATTAGCTGTTTGACCTCAACAAGTTACATAACCTTTCTGTGCCTCAGTTTCCTCACCTGTAAAATGGGGTCATACCAGCATTTACCACACAGGGTTCATGGAAGGATTAAATAAGTAAATATGTGTAATGTGTTTAAATCAGAGTCTAGCACGTAATAAGCATTATCTAAGTGCTTTACTGAGGGTAGCAGGAAAAAGATTGGAGACAACTAGAGCAAAGACAGGGATGTCTCTTCAGAGTCAGAACTACATGGTAGGATAGGCATCAGGAAATCACTGAGGGGACATCTTTATACAGGGGTGACATTACAAAGTATTCTCAAAAGATTAGCGAGCTAGAGGAAGGGATGATAGAGGCAAGAAATTTACTGTTGTGTAAATCCAGTTTGAGAAAAAAGGGCCTAGGTTTGTAGGATTATAGTAGTCACAGCAAAGAGAGATGAAAGTAAGGAAAAAATCCATGGAACTAGGTATTAGACTGGATAAGGGAATAAATGGTAAAGGCAGGCTGGAGTCAAAAAACACTTCGAGGTTCTAATCGAAACAGGATTATTTAAGAAAGGAATCAGTGTGCTAAGGAAAATACTTACAAACAAGCTTCAAACAGAAGAAAATAGAAACATTTGAAGCCAGTTTAAGGTCCAGAAGCTTGTCATAAGAGAACTCAATTTTCTTGAATACTGCCTAATCCTTTAAATCAATTGACTATCCTAGTTTTGCATATAGTCACATAGGAATTCATTTTAGAATAAAAATGGTAGTATCCAAATGTGTACACACATAAACACATGGAAGCAAACAAGACTGGAAGGATATGCAACAGGAAATTAATGGATGTCTCTCAGAATTATGCTTGATTTTTTTCCTACCTCTTCTTTGCCTGTGCACAGTTTTAAAATTTTTGACTATGAACACAGACTATTTTTGTAGTTAGGGGGACAAAAACCAATAAAAAAATTACAGAAGACTTCCCATTCTATGTAATTCTACATTTGCTTCCTACACTATAAAGAGTTCATTCTGAGATTTCTCTTTTAGTGTTTAGGGTCAAATTGTGTCTCCCCAAAATTCATGTTCAAGTTCTAACCTCCAGTAGCTCGGAATAAGATCTTTAGGGTCTTTACAGAGGAAATCAAGTTAAAGTGAGGACATGAGAGTAGGACCTAATCCAATTTGACTGGTGCCCTTTCAAGAAGGGTGTTAGTAAGAAGATAGTTAATGTCATGCATCAACTTGCCCAGGCCATGGTACCCAGACAGTTTGCCTGCCAAACATTATTCTAGTTGTTTCTGTGGAGGTTATTTTTTAGATGAGATTAACATATAAATTAGTAGACTCTGATCTAAGCAGATGACCCTCCATAATGTGATGGCCTCATCTAATCAGCTGAAGGTCTTCACAGAACAAAGACTTACCTTCCCTGAACAAGAACAAATTCTGCCAGCAGACTGCCTTCGGACTACATCATCAATTCTTCCCTGGGTCTCGAGCCTGCCTGCCTACCCTGCAGATTTTAGACTTGCCTGCTTTCACAATGTGAGCCAATTTCTTAAAATAAATCTCTCGCTATATATGTATTTATATACATATATAGATATAAATACATTACCCTCCCCCCACACTGGTTCTGTTTCTCTGGAGAACCCTAAGAGAAGGAAACTTGGAAACAGACATGGGAAACACGGACACAGAGAGAAAATGACACAAAGACATAGGGGAAAAGACAGTTATCTACATGCCAAGGAGAGAGGCCTGAAACACAGAGATAACCAACCCTGGACTTCTTGCCTCCAGAACTAGGAGACAATAAATTTCTATTGTTTAAGCCACCCAGCCTATAGCACTTTGTTACAATAGTCCCAGCAAACTAATACAGAGATACACCAGAAAATTAACAGTAGGTATCCCTTTTATACTTGTGTTTTGTTTTTTTTAGAGACAGTGTCTTGCACTGTCGAGTACAGTAGCATCATATATAGCTCACTGTAACCTCAAACTAGTGGGCTCAAGTGATCCTCCTACCTCAGCCTCCCGAGTAGCTGGGACTACAGGTGTGTGCAACTACGTCCAGCTAATTTTTTCTACTTTTTTTTTTTTTTTTTTTAGTAGAGACAAGGTCTCACTCTTCCTAAGGCTGGTCTCGAATTCCGGAGCTCAAGCAATCCTCCCACCTTGGCCTCCCAAAATGCTAAGATTACAGGTGTGAGACACCATGCCCTGCCTGATTTTTTTTCACTTCTTCTTTGCCTATGCACATTTAAACTATTTTTGTGGCTGGGTGTGTTGGCTCACGCCTGTAATCTCAGCACTTTGTGGAAGGATCACCTTAGCCCAGGAATTTGAGACCAACTGGGGTGAGGCCCCATCTCTATAAAAAAATTATAAAAAGAAAAAGCCAAAAAACAAAGCATGGTGGTGTGCACCTATAGTCCTCGCTACTCAGGAGGTTGAGGCAAGAGGATCTCTTGAGCCCAGGAGTTTGAGGCTGCAGTGAGATATGATTGTACCACTGTACTCCAGCCTGGGTGTCACAACGAGACCCACTCTCTTAAAAAAATTAAAATCAAAAAATTTTTGACTATGAACAAAGACTATTTTCATAGTGAGGAAAAACCATCACTAAAAACAAATTACATAAAAATTCCTGTTCTATGTAATTCTACACTTGCTTCCTATACTATAAAGAGTTAATTCTAAGATTTCTCTTAGAGTTTCCAGAAAAACTTGTATGTTTCCCCATAACTTATTGCCCAAGTGCCTGTTTGACTGTTCACACTGAAGAGAAAGGACACTCACCTTCATAATCTCTTATTGAATCTTCTGTCCTAACCCCAGCCATATTATACTGGCTGCTCACAGACTGAGAAAGCATTCCTTCTAATCTCTCCAATGTGGCTTGGCCTTCTGCTGTTAAATGGGATAATCCTTCTTCATAGGTGTAAAATGTAGGGATGTCCCCTTGTCCTTGTTCTAAACAAATAGAAAACTTTAAGGCTATTACACAACAATTAGAAAAAACAAAATGGATAATCAATAACGCATTTGCCGAAGATAAGGTACAGGGAAAACAGGCTTCCGGGAAAATACTTTTCAAGATTCACTATACACATATGTAGGCCACTACTGAAGACAGAGATACAAAGAAAATGTCCCTACCCTCTAGGATGAGAAGGGATTCCAAGAGATAATGAACCAGTAAACAGCAATTCCCAAAGACTCACATGTCCAAGGACTAGAGGGAAAAATGTGTGTTCCTAAGGTCAGGGAGTCCTGTGTTATTCCACTGTGGGATTTTACTAGTGAGCACAAATTAAGTTGATATTAATTTGTACTGAAGATGTTTTCTGATTAAAATACATGTGCCTTTTAAAAAATCAAGAAGACCAGAAAATACAAAAAGGATTAAAAAACCAAAAATCCCAGAAAGATAAGGTTATCTTCGGATATGTGAAGAAGAATCCTAGAAATGAGTTTGTCTCAGGCCAGCAAGTGGGTATACATGGAAGAAAGAGCTTTGGATACTCAGATTGGTATGCATAAGACCAGTGGGGAAAAGAAAAGAGAACAGCAGGCACTTCAAGCTACAGAAAGACTCCACCAGGCTAGTGATTGCATTTTGGTCTGAAGAAGCAATAGGAAATAGATAAATGAAGTGTGAGTCTGGAAAAAAGAAATGTCCTTGACAGTAAGCTGTTTGAAGGAATAAGGTTTTTTTGGTTTGGTTTTTGTTTTTTTTTTTTTTTGAGACAGAATCATGCTCTGCTGCCCGGGCTAGAGTGCTCTGGCGTCAGCCTAGCTCACAGCAACTTCAAACTCCTGGGCTCAAACAATCCTCCTGCCTCAACCTCCCGAGTAGTTGGGACTACAGGTGTATACCACCATGCCTGGCTAATTTCTTTCTATTTTCAGTAGAGACGGGGTCTTGCTCTTGCTGAGGCTGATCTTGAACTCCTAACCTCAAGTGATCCTCCTGTCTGAGCCTCCCAGAGTGCTAGGATTACAGGTATGAGCCACCACGTCTGGCCAAGAGTCTGTTTTCGCACAATTGGAATATGTTAAATAAAGATATAGATGATCTAGGTTCTCAAGGGGTAGAGAGAGAAGGCTTGTTTTCTAGGGGCAGGTGTCTCAATTTAAAAGACTTTTCTGACAACCCACTTTCCTATTTACCATTTTCTTCCCTTCCATTTACTCTATTTATCCACTTTCTTCCCTGACAATCTCTATTTTTTACCCTTAAGCTTGGAAAGCCCATAAATTTCTCCAATTTGTCTGTTGCAAAGAGCATAGGCATAAAGTATACCATTGTGTCATTCACTTGTATTAATAATTATATCATATTAGGTACTTACCCTCCCCCCACACTGGTTCTGTTTCTCTGGAGAACCCTAAGAGAAGGAAACTTGGAAACAGACATGGGAAACACGGACACAGAGAGAAAATGACACAAAGACATAGGGGAAAAGACAGTTATCTACATGCCAAGGAGAGAGGCCTGAAACACAGAGATAACCAACCCTGGACTTCTTGCCTCCAGAACTAGGAGACAATAAATTTCTATTGTTTAAGCCACCCAGCCTATAGCACTTTGTTACAATAGTCCCAGCAAACTAATACAGAGATACACCAGAAAATTAACAGTAGGTATCCCTTTTATACTTGTGTTTTGTTTTTTTTAGAGACAGTGTCTTGCACTGTCGAGTACAGTAGCATCATATATAGCTCACTGTAACCTCAAACTAGTGGGCTCAAGTGATCCTCCTACCTCAGCCTCCCGAGTAGCTGGGACTACAGGTGTGTGCAACTACGTCCAGCTAATTTTTTCTACTTTTTTTTTTTTTTTTTTAGTAGAGACAAGGTCTCACTCTTCCTAAGGCTGGTCTCGAATTCCGGAGCTCAAGCAATCCTCCCACCTTGGCCTCCCAAAATGCTAAGATTACAGGTGTGAGACACCATGCCCTGCCTGATTTTTTTTCACTTCTTCTTTGCCTATGCACATTTAAACTATTTTTGTGGCTGGGTGTGTTGGCTCACGCCTGTAATCTCAGCACTTTGTGGAAGGATCACCTTAGCCCAGGAATTTGAGACCAACTGGGGTGAGGCCCCATCTCTATAAAAAAATTATAAAAAGAAAAAGCCAAAAAACAAAGCATGGTGGTGTGCACCTATAGTCCTCGCTACTCAGGAGGTTGAGGCAAGAGGATCTCTTGAGCCCAGGAGTTTGAGGCTGCAGTGAGATATGATTGTACCACTGTACTCCAGCCTGGGTGTCACAACGAGACCCACTCTCTTAAAAAAATTAAAATCAAAAAATTTTTGACTATGAACAAAGACTATTTTCATAGTGAGGAAAAACCATCACTAAAAACAAATTACATAAAAATTCCTGTTCTATGTAATTCTACACTTGCTTCCTATACTATAAAGAGTTAATTCTAAGATTTCTCTTAGAGTTTCCAGAAAAACTTGTATGTTTCCCCATAACTTATTGCCCAAGTGCCTGTTTGACTGTTCACACTGAAGAGAAAGGACACTCACCTTCATAATCTCTTATTGAATCTTCTGTCCTAACCCCAGCCATATTATACTGGCTGCTCACAGACTGAGAAAGCATTCCTTCTAATCTCTCCAATGTGGCTTGGCCTTCTGCTGTTAAATGGGATAATCCTTCTTCATAGGTGTAAAATGTAGGGATGTCCCCTTGTCCTTGTTCTAAACAAATAGAAAACTTTAAGGCTATTACACAACAATTAGAAAAAACAAAATGGATAATCAATAACGCATTTGCCGAAGATAAGGTACAGGGAAAACAGGCTTCCGGGAAAATACTTTTCAAGATTCACTATACACATATGTAGGCCACTACTGAAGACAGAGATACAAAGAAAATGTCCCTACCCTCTAGGATGAGAAGGGATTCCAAGAGATAATGAACCAGTAAACAGCAATTCCCAAAGACTCACATGTCCAAGGACTAGAGGGAAAAATGTGTGTTCCTAAGGTCAGGGAGTCCTGTGTTATTCCACTGTGGGATTTTACTAGTGAGCACAAATTAAGTTGATATTAATTTGTACTGAAGATGTTTTCTGATTAAAATACATGTGCCTTTTAAAAAATCAAGAAGACCAGAAAATACAAAAAGGATTAAAAAACCAAAAATCCCAGAAAGATAAGGTTATCTTCGGATATGTGAAGAAGAATCCTAGAAATGAGTTTGTCTCAGGCCAGCAAGTGGGTATACATGGAAGAAAGAGCTTTGGATACTCAGATTGGTATGCATAAGACCAGTGGGGAAAAGAAAAGAGAACAGCAGGCACTTCAAGCTACAGAAAGACTCCACCAGGCTAGTGATTGCATTTTGGTCTGAAGAAGCAATAGGAAATAGATAAATGAAGTGTGAGTCTGGAAAAAAGAAATGTCCTTGACAGTAAGCTGTTTGAAGGAATAAGGTTTTTTTGGTTTGGTTTTTGTTTTTTTTTTTTTTTGAGACAGAATCATGCTCTGCTGCCCGGGCTAGAGTGCTCTGGCGTCAGCCTAGCTCACAGCAACTTCAAACTCCTGGGCTCAAACAATCCTCCTGCCTCAACCTCCCGAGTAGTTGGGACTACAGGTGTATACCACCATGCCTGGCTAATTTCTTTCTATTTTCAGTAGAGACGGGGTCTTGCTCTTGCTGAGGCTGATCTTGAACTCCTAACCTCAAGTGATCCTCCTGTCTGAGCCTCCCAGAGTGCTAGGATTACAGGTATGAGCCACCACGTCTGGCCAAGAGTCTGTTTTCGCACAATTGGAATATGTTAAATAAAGATATAGATGATCTAGGTTCTCAAGGGGTAGAGAGAGAAGGCTTGTTTTCTAGGGGCAGGTGTCTCAATTTAAAAGACTTTTCTGACAACCCACTTTCCTATTTACCATTTTCTTCCCTTCCATTTACTCTATTTATCCACTTTCTTCCCTGACAATCTCTATTTTTTACCCTTAAGCTTGGAAAGCCCATAAATTTCTCCAATTTGTCTGTTGCAAAGAGCATAGGCATAAAGTATACCATTGTGTCATTCACTTGTATTAATAATTATATCATATTAGGTACTTTATAGAGATTTAAAGAACTATAATCCCCTCTCCCTAGTACACTCTTAAAATGAAACACTAAACAAACAAAAAAACAAAACTTAAAAAAATCCATTTTACTAACCATGTGCTTCCACATCATATTCATCTCCATCGTAATCATCTGAATCTTCATCCTCAGGATCTGGATGCAAGGCCTGGCATTCACACATTGCAGTGAACATTGCCTCCACTGAACAAGGAAATTAAATTGTAACTAATATTCTTTTCAATGTAAAATAAAATTTTATAATAAAAATAACCATCAGAGCAAATAAATTTAATGGGTACACAAGAGGTATACTAAGGTCACAATATTTACAAAACCTGCCAAATTCGATGTAAGATCAATCTTGAAAGCGCTTGAGGCAATGGACAAGTCACAAAATAATAAGAGCTCATTTTGGGATATTTTATATTATTGAGATCTCTTCATGGCTAGTCGGATTTTCTGAGAAAAAGGATCAGAGTCCTGGTCAGATTGCTGCACCACAGTGAAACACCTCTCAGCTGATAGGGGTCTGTCCAGCTATCCTGGCATCTTCCACTTTGGAACTGCTGTGACTCCTTTGCCATTCCTCAGATGAGATTCAGTCAACAGCATCAATCAATAAAACTAACCAGAGTCCTCCATTCACAAAATATACCCGGTAACAAGGTGTCTACAATACTCTCACTACATTCACAACCTTTGATATTAACTGGTACTTGGTCCTCAATGATATCATAGATGAGAAAGTGAAGAAAAAGCAGTAGAATGGAGGTAAAGGTGAGAGTTTTATGTACGCGTATACATCAACTGGGGGGAATGCTTGGTACATAAAAGGAAAGAATACTATAGAACACACTCACATGCTGATTTATCACTAGGCACAAATCTAAATTCAGTAATAGGTTCAACATCATCATCGCTGTCTTCCTCTTCATCAGCCACAGATTCTTTTGATTCTTCTAGAAAGGCAACAAAAATAACTTTTTAATGTCGTTATTTGACTTTAAAAAAAAAAACCAAGCCCACAGCAATTCAATTCTACCAATTATGCTTATTTTAAGCGAAAAAAGGCTCTGGATAGAGTCTCTGGTAAAGCCACATTGTGCTTTACTGAGCACTTAGGATTCCAGAGCCCCCATGGGGCCACGGTTGGGGGTGAGAAAACCCAAATAGGGCTCTAACAAGTATGGTTCCAATGTCATCTGCTCCTCTTACCTTTCACTTTGGGGAAAAAAAAAAAAAAGGCTCCAGTAGCAGTTTATAAACCACTGATGTGATTCATCACCAGCAAATTACAGATAGGAAAACTAAAGCCCATAAAATTTAACTTAGGCAACATATAAATTAAGAAAATCTGTAGGCAAGAAAAGATATAAACGTTTAATAAAAACAGGCTGGGAGCAGTGGCTCACACCTGTAATCCTAGCACTTTGGGAGGCTAAGGCAGAACTGTTTGAAGCTAGGAGTTTGAGACCAGCCTGGGCAACACAGCTATACCCTGTCTCCACAAAAAAACTGAATAATTAGCAGGGCATGATGGTGTGTGTCTGTAGTCCTAACTACTCAGGAGACTGAGGCAGGAAGATCCCTTGAAGCCAGGAGTTAAAGTTATAGTGACTATGATTGTGTCACTGTACTTCAGCCTGGGCAACAGAGCGAGACAGTTTCTAAAAAAACAAAAGAACTAGCATATTCTGGGAGTGAAAATTCCACCTTGAGGTGTCCATATCCTACTACCCAATAATTTCACATCTCAGTATTTATCCTGCACACAAGGAATTTATACATAATTTCACTAGTATACTAGTAAATTTCACAATATACTAGTGAAAAATATAAAAAATAACTTAAACATTCAAAAAAAGGAAACAGATGCATTGTAAACTGGGGTTGGTCAGATTATGTTTTATAGACAGATAGCAATTAAAAATGAACAAATCTGATATATCTGTATCAACATGGATAGATTTTAAAAATATTTAGTGAAAGAACCAGTTGTAGGCCGAGCGCGGTGGCTCACGCCTGTAATCCTAGCACTCTGGGAGGCCGAGGCGGGTAGACCACTCAAGTGGAGTTCTAGACCAGCCTGAGAGAGAGTGGGACCCCATCTCTACCAAAAAATAGAAAGAAATTATCTGGACAACTAAAAATATATATAGAGAGAAAAAATTAGCTGGGCATGGTGGCGCATGCCTGTAGTCCCAGCTACTCAGGAGCCTGAGGCAGAAGGATCGCTTGAGCCCAGGAGTGTGAGGTTGCTGTGAGCTAGGCTGATGTCACGGCACTCACTCTAGCCCGGGCAACAAAGCGAGACTCTGTCTCAAAAAAAAAAAAAAAAAAAAAAAAAATAGCCTAATCTTATCAACGATGGTCATTTTTAAGGAGACTTATGGAAGTAAGTCAAAGAGAAAAAAAAAATCGCAGCTTGGAGAATCAGGACAGGAGGAACAAAGGCTGGGAAAATATGAGCCAAGCATTTGTAATTTATGAGAGGAGTTCAAGATAAACAGAAATAGAGAACTACTGAAATAAATGTGACTGACCCAGGAGGATATTACTTTCCAGTAAGATGTGAAGTCCTACATATTTAAGAAAGGATTAATCATAATTACATCAATTCCAAGGAAATAATCACAAAAAGCACATATTTAAACCAACTATCTCAAACCTACTGAGTTGTTATTTCCTAGATTGCGACTTCCAGCATTTTTAACAAGCTTCCTAGGTGTTTCTAATGTGCAGCCAGGTTTGAGAATCAGAGACTAATACACTTTGCTAATTTTGGGAGATGAAATTCAGGCTCAGAGGTGAAAATAATTTGCCTAGCAAGTGAAAGACAGAGTCTTCTTATTCAATGTACTTTTCCCTTTTGTTAGTCTTTATTCAAAATCTACTTCTCTAGCCTTTTTCTTGACATGAACTTTTGTGCCCCACATCAAGGCCTGACACTATTTAGGGGCATTTCACACCAGCATTTGGAATTGACTGACAAGAGTATCTGTAATGTTTTGCATTCATACAAATGAATGAACTCTTTAAACTAAACATGACACATAATATTCTTAGTTATAAAATCATAGGTGCCTTCACTTAGAGAGTGAACTCTGTGCCTAATACCTCATTAGGAAGTCTTACTACACCCCACGGCCAACAGCCTTTTAAATTTTCCTCATCTTCTTTTTCAAAGTTCACTAGATTTTTATCTGTCTTTGAACTCTTCCCAATGGCAAGCACTTGAAATCTTTGATGGAAATAATTTTAGATAGCTGAATCCACTTAACTAGGCAGGGCTTGCCAAAAATCCTAAAAAAATTACTAAATAATTTGTGTCACAACTGAATATAAATGATATTATATCTGAAAACATTAAAATCCCAATTTGAAGGAACACCAGCTTATCAGGCAAACTCATGGGATTGTCTTTGACACACTATTTCCAAGAAAAGCAACCTATTATTTTAAACGTTAACAACTTCACTAGATACTTATAAGTCTTTGCAGTTATCTCCAACAGCAAAACTTGGGACTCACAACCCAGGGTTTCTAAACCTTGGCATTACTGACATTTGGACTGGATAACTTCGTTGCGGGGGGCTACCCTGTGAATTGCAGAATGTTTAGCAGCATCCTTAGCCTCTAACTACTAGATGCCAGTAGCACTCCTTCCCCATTTTAATCAAAATGTCACTGCCAAATATGGGGGGATGGAGAGGTGGGTGGAGGCCCATGAAAAATCCACCCCCCACACCCTCCTGAGAACCAATACTTGTAACAAAACAAAACAAAACAGTTCTATAATAAATTCTTGAAGCACAAAGTATACTAATCCAAGCCTCTAAGGTTGCCTTTGCAAAGATAAAGAGAATAAACAGTTAAACACAAGAGGAAAAAGAAATACATATCCACAATAAATGAAGAATTCTAAGTGCAAATATATAGAAAATAAAAGGCAGATACACACAAATGTCCAAATTATTTTACCGTGTTAAAATTTTGCTTAATAAACTACTACTGAAAGTGGGTAATATCACATTATTATCAAAAACTGCTTTTTATTTTTTTTATTTTTTATTTTTTTTTGAGACAGAGACTCACTTTATTGCCCTGGCTAGAGTGCTGTGGCATCAGCCTAGCTCACAGCAACCTCAAACTCCTGGGCTCAAGCAATCCTACTGCCTCAGCCTCCCGAGCAGCTGGGACTACAGGCATGCGCCACCATGTCCGGCTAATTTTTTCTATATATTTTTAGCTGTCCAATTAATTTCTTTCTATTTTTGGTAGAGACGGGGTCTCGCTCTTGCTCAGGCTGGTCTCGAACTCCTGAGCTCAAACAATCCGCCCGCCTCAGCCTCCCAGGGTTCTGGGATTACAGGCGTGAGCCACCGCGCCCGGCCTGCTTTTTATTTTTTAATTTTTTTTAAGAAACAGGGTCTGGTTCTGTTGCCCAGGCTGGAGTGCAGTGGCATGATTGTAGCTCACTGCAGCCTCGAACTCCTGGGCTCAAGTGATCCTCCCCTCTGAGCCTCCCGAGTAACTAAGACTACAGGCGTGTGCCACCATGCCTGGCTAAATTTTTAAATATTTTTGTAGAGATGGAGTCTCACTATGTTGCCCAGGCTGGTCTTGAACTCCTGGCCTCAAGTGATCCTCCCACCTCAACCTCACAAAGCACTGGGATTATAGGCGTGAGCCACTGCGCCCAACCAAAGATTGCTTTTGGAAATATAATTTGCTATCAAAGGAAGCTATAGATTAAATTACACCATACATACCTCCAAATTTGGCATTCACCATAACATACAAATGCTCTCGTGGATAGGCATTTAGGTCCCGGGACACCGCATGTAAACTAATGGTGGGGTATTCCAGGGAGAATCCTAATCCAGAGCCATCTAACCACGACAGGCGGCTGAAAAACACATTTTAAGTAGATTATTTTTAGATAATTTAATATCCCAAAGTTTATAAAAGTTCAGCTTAGACACTTATGCATATGAATAAATTCAAGTTGAATGTTTAGAAATATTCCTAAAATAAGAAAATTCAGTAATGGGAATTGAATTTTCTTTAAGACCAATTCTCCTATGGTCTCTTTTCCTCCAGCTATAAATTCGAATAGATTTGAAATTCAATTTTCCTCAGTCACATGTACGTTTCCATGGTTTTTATGCTTATTCTTATTTGGAATGTCTTCAGACGCACTCTTTGCTTTTGCAAATCCTCATCTAGTTAAGTCCCAGCTCTTCCATGAGGCCTCCCTTCAATTACTCCAGTCCATAATGATGTCTTTTTTTCCTAAACTGCATTCATGCTCACTAATATACCATTTGGCACTTAACACTGTGGTTGTGAATGTTTTATGTACCCTTACAGAGTGTGAGCTGCTTGACAGCAGAACCTGTCACATTCCTTTCTTTAACATTCCTCAAAACCACTGGCATAGTGCTCAGCAGGTAAATATGCAATAAATACTTGATAATCACTCATTTCTCCACTAATCCTACATTGAATGACATACGTATGAAATGGCCGTAATCACACCATATGTTAGGAAATAATTATTACCTTGAAAGACCGACTCTATAAAACCTTTCATTTTTTCTATAGCTTTAAGAGAAAACCACAGATAAGCTAGATCTAATTTTCCCTCAAAATGTGGTCGAATGCAATTATTTCATTGGTATAACAAAGGAGACATGCCACCAAAATCAGTAAGATGAGTTCTGAGTAGGGGCTGGCTAATTTTTGATAATACTTCACCCATCCGGAATTGTACTGCTTAGCAGGAAAAAAGCAAAAAGATCCTGAAGAAGCCACAAAAAATGTTTATTGCAATAAATGTTAAGGCAATATAGTGATTGCCCAGGGCTAGAAAGAACTAGAAAATGCCTGTTAATGGGTTCCAGTTTTTTTCTGGGGCAATGAAAATATTCTAAAATTGATTGTGGTTATAGTTGCACAACTCTGTGAATAGACTAAAAACCATTAAACTGCATACTTTAAAATGGGTAGATTGTATGTTATGTGAATTACCTCAATAAAGCTGTTATTAAAAAAAGACATTACTGCAATAATACCCGTGTATATCATTCTATTTTCTTTCTTTCTTTTTTTTTTAGAGACAGAGTCTCACTTTGTCACCCAAAGTTCATTATAACCTCAAATTCTTGGGCTCAAGTGATCCTGCTGCCTCAGCCTCCTCAGTAGCTGGGACTAATGGTGAATGGTAATACATCTGGCTAATTTTTTAAATTTTTTGTAGAGACAGGGTCTTGCTGTGTTGCCCAGACTGGTCTCAAACTACTGGCCTCAAGCAATCCTCCTGCCTCAGCTTCCCTAAGTGCTGGGATTACAGACATAAATCATCGTGCCCGGCCCATATCATTCTATATATTTTCTATACAATTTTAACAAGGCTGGCCGTCTAATTTTTAAACAAGCAAAAGCATAATAGAAGAATCTAGGACTCCCTTGAGTAAGAACGATGATAGTACGACAGTCTGAGATCATTCACGTTCAATGTTAAGGGGAGGATGAACTTTATACCTCAGTCCCCCTAAAGGAAATCAATGTCTAATAGCATTAAGACAAGTGCACAATACATAACCCTCAGTTATCAAAAGCATTATCAAAAGCAAAAACAGAGCAATAGATTGTGGTGATAATTGTACAACTCTGTAAATACACTAAAACTTAATTATATACTTAAATAAAGCAAAAACAAGAAAATAATGACTATCATTAAGAAAGATTTCCACCCAACATGTTTACTAAAAGAAAGAAAAAGGAAAACCTGAGAGGCTTAAAAGTGATAAACCTTAAAGAGCTAAAAGTTGGGAGGCCGAGGCAGGTGGATAGCTCAAGGTCAGGAGTTTGAGACCAGCCTGAGCAAGAGCGAGACCCCGTCTCTACTAAAAATAGAAAGAAATTATCTGGACAACTAAAAATATAT